ACAACAGTTAACAAATAGTTAAAAAATACTGTTGTGCAAGCTGGGCGGGGGGGGGGAGAGAAAAAAAAAATCAAATCAAATCAAATCACTTGAAATGCAGTATTACAGGGGTAACTTCACAGTTGCCAGAAAGACAAATGACTGGATTTCAGATCAAATCAAGCCTGAACTCTCACTGGAAGCTAAAACAACTAAACTGAAGCTATCATACTTTGGGCACAACATGAGAAGATAAGAGCTCCACAAGAGATGTTTCAAGAGGAACTAGCAGCTTCTTCTGGAGGGGGCAGGGGGGGGGAATCAAGGTTTCTGTACTGGGCACCAAAACACCCAGTGCCAGCTCTCCGCTCCAATAAAGCCAAGCCAAGAATTTAGATGAACTTTTAAATAAATGTAAAGGATTAGAAATCTCCATCTGTTGCTCGCTGTTAGTCTAAACAGAAAAAAAAAAACCAATGCTGAGAAAGCGGGCTACCTTCTTATTCATACAGAAAGCTCTGTTAAAATGGGATTGGAGGACTTTAATAGAAGCAGTCCAAAGGATGCTCAGCCACACTCTTCCTGCATGTATTTTGTAAAAGCGATTTCCAATTCCATCCTTCGGGTAGCATGTGCAAATCCCTTAAATCGACTTGTTTCTTTTCAGCTTTTTAAAGGAAGAGGTGATGTTGTTTGCCCTCCCTGTTTCTCCAAATGCTCATCAAATGCCAAAGTTTAGGATGTTATTAAGTGGCAGCAATGTATGATACAAAAGCCACAAAAATAATCAACCACAGGTCATCAAAAACAGCATGCTTTCCTATACCAGTCCTTCTCACAACTTCCAGTCCTCTGGTGAAGTTATGAACTGGACATCTCAATTCATTTGCTGGGCAGGTATTTACTAAACTAGGGATGGGTAAAATATGGCCTTTCAGACACTGTCGGGTTGTAACTTCCAGAAGCCTTAGTCAACCCAGCCCGAGAGTGCAGGACAATGGAAATTGTATGTTGGAATGTCACACACGCTCTCCAGCCTGCACTAAAAGAAGGATGCTTTCTTGTAATGGTGCCTTAGTTATGGATCATTCTCTCCCTCCAACTATACCCCACTGGCTAGATTTCCACCCACACACCCTTGTCTTTAGAATACAAATGAAGACGGGTGTGTTTTTTTTGTTTTTTGTTTTTGCCTTCTGATAAGACTCTGAGCATCCTGGCAGTACTACGTATCTACAAGAACATTCTAACATCTAAGTGCATTTGATGTTAAAAATAGGAAGAAAAGCAGCACCTTTTAAAGAAAAGAAAAGAAAAAGAAACAGCTCAGCATTTAGGCAATTTTTACAATTTTTATTACACAAAATTTGAAAGCAAGATTTTTGGAAACAGGAAGCCTGACACCGAACAAAATCTTAGGTCCAGCTACCCTAGTATCGAAGACAGGAGGGCCTGGCCTGCTCTGGTCCATGGAGTCACGAAGAGTTGGACATGACTTAACGACCAAACAACAACACAACCCTAGTATCATTGACACAGATTGGTAGTGGCTCTCTTCGTTGGATGCAACTGTGCAATTGTATCTATGTAGACTGAGCAGAAACAAAGGATGTATAGTGGTGCCCCGCTTCATGACGACCCCGTAAGACGACGAATCCGCTGTACGATTAGTTTTTCCCGATCGCTATTGCGATCACAAAACAAGAGCCTCGTGGTGCAGTGGTTAAAACGCTGTACTGCAGCTAAAACTGCGCTCACGACCTGGGGTTCAAATCCCAGGTAGCCGGCTCAAGGTTGACTCAGCCTTCCATCCTTCCGAGGTCGGTAAAATAAGTACCCAGCTTGCTGGGGGGGCAATGTGTAGCCTGTATAATTAAAAAATTGTAAACCGCCCGGAGAGTGCTTGTAGCGCTATGGGGCGGTATATAAGTCCAATAAATAAATAAATAAACAAATAAATAAATAAATGTTTTTATGGGCTTTTTTCGTTTGACGACGATTGGTTCCCTGCTTCGGGAACCGATTTTTCGCTTAATGACGATCAAAAACAACTGATCATCGGGGTTTCAAAATGGCTCCCCGCTGTGTTCAGGACGGATTCTTTGCAAGACAGTCACCGGAAAATGGCCGCCCTATGGAGGATCTTCGCTGGACGGTGAGGTATTTCGCTCATTGGAATGCATTAACGGGTTTTTAATGCATTTCAATGGGGTTTTTTTAACTTTCACTTGACGAGGATTTCGCTCTACAGCGATTTTGCTGGAACGGATTATCGTTGTCAAGCGGGGCACCACTGTACACACATCCTGTGGGATCCCACGGGTGGCACCTTAAGTGTTTTGCCATAACTGCAAAAGTATCTTTAGGAACATAGCATCTATATGCTCAGCTAGGAGCCAAGGGCAACAACTAATTTTCTTGGAAATAAATGAATCTGGAAACAGCACCGGGTTATGACCCAATTGGAGATCCTGTGTACCTGGATACACAATCCCCACATTATCCCGTGAGTGCAACGTCCTGCTCTGTTCCTCTTAGACGAGAAGAAATACTTCACAGGTAGTCCAACTTTCTGCTCTTAGTCAACAGAGTACGCCAAGCAATACCTCAGAATCAGTGGGCTGAGTCAAGATTTTAACAGACTTCAGTCCAGGACTCCGTCCCCAAAGGCAACCTCCCCGAGATGAAATAATATATCCTGCAGTGCCAAATGGGGTTAAACAGATTTGCCCAGGAGGCTGCCCTGCAAAAACTCTCCAATTGTGTACCAGTATACAGAGCAGCTGAGGTCACTGAACCTCTCACTGAATGTGCTGTAATACCTGATGGCAGATCTTCACAATGTCAATGTCTAAACCAATGCAAATTATCTGCCAGTTTCAGATCATGTTCCTTTTCTTCCTTGGTCACCTCCTTTTAGCACACAGTTAAGAACTCTGCTGGTTTGCTGAAGGGAGGCTTAAAGTAACTTGAACAGCCTTCCAGATATATCTAAAAGCCACTTTCTTCTCCTGGAACATGCTGCAGTGAGGCAGAAGTTAGAAAGACTACATCCTATGTCTGTTGAAAAACAGAACGGATCTTGAGAGGAAATCCCAGAACCAGCCTGAGGACTATGTGATTGGATGAGATAAACCAGAGGTCTTTCTGCACCAGCCAATGTCATCAGTTCCCCCACTCTCCCTGGAGTCAGATGCCAATGCCACTGAAGAAGGCCATCTTCCAGATGAATTAATTAAACCACAATACTATGGAAAAGTTCACATGTAAAACACAAAGACTACAAGCGTACAGCCAGCAGAGAAATTTAAGTAGCCCTCCACTAGAAATGGAAAGAAGAAAACATATACAAAGCGTAAGTTTTTATAAAAAATCTGGTGGGTTCTGAATAATCTATGGAACGTTGGCTACATAAATCTATACATTTTATTAGATGGAGATTAGTAGCTAGCATGGCCTTGGTTATGGCTGAGGTAAATGCTGCCCATTAGATGGTTGCTTTTAGCATCCTGAGACCTGTTGAAGCCAACTCTGAGTGTAACACTGGCCTTGCTGAGGTAAATGCTGCCCATTAGATGGTTCCTTTTAGCATCCTGACACCTGTTGAAGCCAACTCTGAGTGAAACACTGGCCTTGGGTAAGGCATTCTGGGTGATACAGTATTTTCCATGAGGGCCTCACATAGATCCATCAGTTCAAAGAACCACAGCCTCATGGGCCAATGGAACGCTATCACCATGACTGATTCCCTACCTTGCTCATAATTCCTGAGATAATAGAAATGGCGGAAAGCTGCACAGAAGTCTGGGAGGCCATATGGCCTGCATGCCATGGAAAAGTGAACATTTTGTTGTTATTGCTGCATGACTCACAAAGCCTGGGAACCCAAAGGGAAGAGACTTGCGTGAACTGTTCTACAGTCGTGCCCCGCTTTACGATTACCCCGTATTATGATGAATCCGCTTCATGACAATGTTTTAAATGGGGTTTTTCCGCTTTGCGAAGATCGGTTCCCTGCTTTGGGAACCAATTCTTCGCATTACAATGATCAAAACAGCTGATCGTCTGGTTTTCAAAATGGCCGCCGGGTACTCAAAATGACTCCCCGCTGTGCTTAGGGACAGATTCCTCGCTATACAGGCACCGAAAATGGCCGCCGTATGGAGGATCTTCGCTGGACGGTGAGTTTTTAGCCCACTGGAATGCATTGAACGGGTTTTAATGCGTTTCAATGGGCTTTTACATTTGGCTTTGCGACGTTTTCGCTCTACAGAGATTTCGCTGGAACGAATTAATGTTTTAAGTGAGGCACCACTGTAATTTGGTTCTGTAGCTGGATGTCTTTTCATATTGTTCTCGCCGTGCCAGGAAGCAATCTAGACTTTATGGGGCACATGCTAAGAAAGTGGAGTTCACAGATTCCTCTGGATTCCAAAATATCTCAAAGAAAACTAAAACCTTTCCACCCCTTTTCTTGCAACAATGTCAGTGAAAGAAGCCCCAATACCAAGACAAACATGACCGAATGGGTGATTAAAAGAGACTCTTATGTCCACCCTTCCCCCACTTCAAAAAACAGCCTTCAATCTTCTGTAAAAATGTGATGGAAGGCGAGTCAGGAGAATAAAAAGCAGAACAAAACAGGGGGTTTCCTAATGTCTACATCTCCCAAACTGGGGTTAAGAACCATAAACACCATTGTCCTTAGCTCCCAGTGCCAAAGACTGGCACGGTTCTTTTCCTTCCACAAGGAATGAGCTCATCTTATAGGTCTGGAAGTGCCTTTAGAGGAAAGGGGAGTTAATCCTTTCCCTGCTATGTCACTCTCAAATGAGAAGAAACACTTGTTCCTTATTATAGCACCCATATGTATGGACATTTGTTCAGGAGATGTACTAATTGGAAAGCAGAGCATACGCAGTTTATTTAATGAAATTTTCTGTAAGCAGGAAACAAAAGAATCTGATGAAGTCACTCCTATTCCATTGATATTTCATCACAAGAGGTTGTTCTGTACTTACATTTTATCCTGACCAGCTCCCACCTTCAGAGTCAACCTAGGAATTACAGGAGACGGCGCAGGAACAACAGGCTCCACTTTGATCTGCTGAACGGAACACGTTATGTTGTTAAACAGTACTGCATTAATTGAAGAGAAACATTTACATTTGACTGCTTGAAATTATATGGGACATTCTACTGTTTGAAAGGATGCGTGCTGCTTCACCAAATAATGGATTCCAGTTGAATTTTAAAGAAGAATGGAATGATTGTGAAATTCTGGTAGCTCTTTTAATCCCTCTACAGTATGCTTTGGCATGGTATTTACTACAGGTTCTTTTTGCCATGATGCATTTACATTACGTTGATCTATGCGGAAGCCAAATGCTGGCTTTCCCATCTGAACAGTGAAATCCCACCTCTGCTAAAGATCAGCACTTGAAAAATCTCTTGCTGCTGCACCAATTGCCAACTTCTGCCTTCTTTTATCAATCCCCTTCCTTGCCTTTGTCACCTGAAACCAGCCACATCAACCTCCCACAAGGAAAAATCCAGCCTGGAACCTCAACCTTACACCACCCACTCCTTCTGTTGATCTGCTGAAAAACTAGTCTAGGTTTGGGGATGCATGGCCCATTTTAGATAGAGTAGCTCTCCTGCTGAACTATCAGGTCCAAACTTGTGGATTCTTATGCACTCAACACTGCTCTGAGGCAGGTAGGCAGATGCTACATCTTTGCACAATTATGATCATTACACCAGCTGACCCTCTCTTCCTGGAGAAGTCAGATATGGCTTTAGTGATCAAAATCTTGATCAACTTCCATTTAGACTACTACAACATACCTTATTTGGAGGTGCTCTTGAAAAAAGTGACATACCTTATTTGGAGGTGCTCTTGAAAAGTGTTCAGAGCAAAAAACAAAGCGTGCTGCTTATATACCACCCCATAGAGCTTAAAGCACTCTCTGGGCGGTTTACAAGTTAATTATGCTGGCTAGACATTGCCTATACATTCAGAAACTGAATCTAGCACAAAATGCTTTCAACCTCTGGCTCCACAGCCAGATATCACCTTACGACTGACTAAGGGATCCTGTTTGTGACATAATGCAACTGAAACCTATACAAGGAAATCAAAATATGAATGAACCTCCCCGCCGGATCACCAGTTGAAATTCCAGTTTTTTTCACTCAAGGGAAATATACTTAGATGGTGATAACGTAAGGCAATACTGTATATTGATATATTCACTTACAAGTTAAAAAGGAAAATCCATTGAGTAATACCAGTATGTTTCCTTAAAAGCAAGTCTTTTAATTTCTGTGGGAAATTATCCTCAAAGAAAGCTTAAGATTTAACCTACATAATAAATCCCTAACTACTGGATTTCTTGATATGTTTTGGCTTGACATTTCACTTTTTTCTGGGAAACATTAACCACTTATTCATCAATAAATTTTTTTAAAAAAAACTTTCAGAATCTGATGTGTATACCAGATTCGGGGTGGGGGGATAGCAACTTGTTTTTCCATTTTCCATTAGATGATTTGCCTTTTGGGAGAAACTCTGTTTCCTTCTAAGCAGAATTTATTTATGTAAAACACCCATTTGCTGCCCTTCAGTTCATGATTCCTCGGATAGCTCATAACAAATGCAACAGGATGATTAAAAATGGAGCATAACAGGAGGTACAGATCAGTAAAATTACTATTAATTTTGCTGAAATTAGCTAAATAACATACTGGAAGGCTTGGGCAAGAAAAAAAGAAAGCTCTTGAATTGAAGCCTCTGTGCTGCGAGGTCAGAAGACCTGCAGTCGTAAGATCGAATCCACGCAACGGAGTGAGCCCCCATCGCTTGTCCCAGCTTCCTCCAACCTAGCGGTTCAAAAGCATGCAAAAGCATGCGTGTAGATAAATAGGTACCACCTCAGTGGGAAGGTAAACGGCGTTCCATGTCTAGTCACACTGGCCACGTGACCATGGAGGATTGTCTGCGGGCAAACACTAGCTCTGTGGGTTGGAAATGGAGATGAGCACCGCCGCCTAGAGCCGGACACGACTGGACTCAATGTCAAGGGGAACCTTTACCTTTTAAATTTTCTTGATTTCATAGAAGGACCCTTCAGTGATTACTCATGCAACAGACTCACAATCTTTCAGGCGAAGCACACAGCTCCTACCCTTGTCAACATGACTTTCTTCATATAGAAAGCAGCACATCTGCAGGGAAACATTCCTGTTCAAATGCAGACTCTACAAGACAACAAGAGCCCCAGTTTACCAGGGCTCTCGCTCACATGCAGAATCTATACATATAGGTAAGAACAGCTAAGCTGCAAACCTATTGCATTCCATTTGAACAAAATGACTGAGAAGAGGGGAGCTAGTGGACTCTTCCTGAAGAGTTGTGGTGTGAGTAAAGGCTAAAAAGGTGATGCAACAGAAAGGCCAACTCTTTGGTCACTACGTGCTTAAATTTTGTATTTGTGAGAGCCTCAGAGAAGAATCCCTGAAGAATTCCAAGGAGTAGCCTGAAGCTGGCAATACTCAGCTGAAATCAGCAGAGTATGGCAGGATTGCCACTGGAGGAACATCTGATAAAACAACCCTACGAGTTGGTAGGGGTAATCCCCAGATCCTCAATGTAACCCTTTGTGCACTGTAAAAACATGTTCTGGAGGTTGGGGAAACCAACTGGGGGAAGGAGTGATTTAAAAAAAAAAAATATCTCCGGTAACAACTAGTTTACTTCTGCTTTTGAAAAACAGCCTGCCATACCCAAAACAACAATGGATGGAAGGGAGATGGAGCAAAACTGCCCCCAGGCTTCATAGAGGATGCAAGATGCTTTAAAAAAAAAAGTCAGAAAAAGTGGGGGAATGAACAGGTGTGAGGATGGGGCAGTCCTTCAAGGTCCAGAGGAGAGCATCTGTGCCCCCAGATTATTCATAACCTAGACCTAACAGTTCATCCTTCGTTTTCAAATATGACCATCTCCATCAGATTCATCATTTAGGGAAAAAGAGAAGAAGTAGGCGGTTAAGATTCAGCAGTAGCATGTTGATGGGCGCAGAAGGGCCGAACTAGCCCAACACATGCCTGGATGATATGGAAACTGGGGCAGGGAGCTGCTGCTGGGTTTGTTGGGCTGTCAAGAAGTTCTACCTTTGCCTTCTCACTTCTCTCTTCCTTTGTGCATCCTTGATTCTCTTTATTTTGAATTATTTCATCGCTTGGAATTCTTTAGCACCCAAGTCTCTGTAATCTAGCTTCACCAGGGCTCATCAGGGTTGAATTTGGCTTCTTCTTGTCAACATCGTGGGGCCATTCCTTATTCTCTAATTATAAATTTGAAGAAAAAAAGAGCGACCAGATCGCCTTTCCTTACAGTTTCTGCTGCTTCAGTTCTTCTGTCAGGTCCTTCCCCTGGAAATCATCTCTCTCTTTATGAATTCTAAGAAGGCAACTTGACACCTTGCAATATAACTTTGAGTTTAATTGAGGAAGAGTAAGTTCATAAATCAGAAAGCAGCCCCAATAAACAAAATTACTCACCTTGCTTCTTGTCTGCAGTTTTATGATTGAACGTGGTCATTCACAAAGGAGGCTAGAGCTGTGCATTATTTGTTGACATTTAATCAACATGGTGTAGCAGCAGCCAGGAAATGAACAAGCAAGGACTTAACAGGATGATAACCATTCAGCTGCCTTTGGGAGTTCACAAGCAGGACAGAAAGATGTCGCTTTTCTCTCCTCTTTGTCTCCAGTAACTGATACCAAGTGGAACACTGCCATTGTCCATGGAAGTTCCATTTTGTTTTTCTGACTATACATCATCATACCCAACCCCCTCAAGAGCTAGGGCTTGGGAAAGTTATTTTTCTGGAAGATGCTGACCACAGAGACTGGCAAAACGTTAGGAAGAACAATCTTCACAACACGGCCAAAGAACCCGAAAAACCCACAACCACCATTATTTTTCTGGACTTCAACTCTCAAAATAGACTGATCATGCATGTACCACAGGATTCCAGCCTTAGAAACAGACACACTTCACCCAGCAGGCAACTTGTGTCATTTACTAGCTCAGATGTGATGACTACCGTGTTTTCCTGAAAATCAGACACGGTCTTATATTAATTTTTGCTCCCAAAAACACATTAGGGCTTATTTTCAGGGGATTTTTTTCCATTTACTGTATTCAAATACAGTCATGTCATCTTCTTCTGGTTGCTGCACAATGTTGGAGGGCGGGGTTTCACTTAACTGGGGCTTACTTTTGGGGTAGGGCTTATATTATCAGCACCCTGAAAAATCATACTAGGGCTTATTTTCAGGTTAGGTCTTATTTTCGGGGAAACAGGGTACTAGCTTAGATGCCTGTTAGAAAGTGTCTAAGGTAGCAGTCCCAAATCTTGTCTTTGTAAATGCCAAGTCGCACACTGAGTTAAATGTTTCTGCTTCTGTGTCTAGAATCCACAGTTAACTATTTGCATGAGATAAAGTTCTCGTAAAGTGAGGTAGGAAGAATAAAAGTGGTTGGTAGCATTTAGCCAGCCCCTCAAATATAACCTATTTTAAGTTGCTTTGTAGCATTTTGCAGCCAAACAACATATTGGTATACGAAAAGTGGGCAAAATAATGTAAAAAAAAGAGAGAAAATGTTGCCAAAGTTTTCAAGAACTGTGAGATGGATGTATTTTAATGGAATCTCTTTTTAATGAACAGTTTCTAAAAACAAAGGCTCACCCAGAAACTTAGGAGGCATTTTTGCATCATCCAATTTCTATACAATTGTGACAATCTGGGAAGCTCAAGAATCCAAATGATAACTTGAGCGATGACAGAGAAAAAGAATGGGGAGCTTGATGAACTACCTTCGGGAAGGCGGGGGCAGTAGCAACAGAGAGAATAAGAGTACGAGTAAATCTTTGTGTACATGCACAAAAATGTGTGCAAGAGAGTATGTGTGTGCCAGATGGGAAAAAAGGAGATCTTTCCCTTTTTCTTTTCAAAGAATGTTAAGGAACTGGTGATGGTTAAAAATTAAAGAGCTGCATTCTGGAGTAATAATACTGGGAACTTGGACCAGCAGAAGAGCATTTACAGTGGATTACTAAGCTTCCCAAATCACCAAAGAGGTAAAGTCCAGCAATATAAGACTCCTTTGTAGCTAACTAAAAATACATTGTCAGTGGATTTGTCCAGTTTTATGTATAAGCAATACTTCTTTCACCTGAACTAATACTAGTAGTCATATAAGCCCCTTATTGCCATGTGCTGCATTTTTCCCTCCCTTCTTGTTAATCTTCAAGGATTTAGCTTCTTTGCCACATACCTCAGGGCACCAACTGATAAAGCTCTAGCTCTCCGTTTTTCCAGGACACCAGCAGAGCGGCCTTGCAAAAAATGAAAATCACTCAAGAGATTTAAAAGGGGGGAAATTTACTTTCAAAATCCTGACTTGCAGCAAAGAGGTGAATTTTTTTTCTGTCTATTTTTTTTAAAGGCTTATCAGCTGAGATCAGTTTAAATTTTAATTCTATCTAGGGACTCTTTCATGCAGTCTAGCTTTAAAGTTTATCTTTTGACAGGGACTTTTCACCAAGGTAACAGGAAGCTTTGTCAATGTAATCTGCCCAAGCTTATATAGCTTTCCCTATAATACAATATATTTCAGGGCTATAAAGAGTAGGCTTTTAATAGGCTGTATCATCACACTATAGTTCTAATGCTACATGGAATTATAAAAATCAGGAAACAAGAACTAGTTATGGAATAGGAAGAGAGCCATCATTCCTTTTTATTTTTTCTAAATGCAATTTAACTATTTGAGAATTTTTTCACATGTCACAGTTTCAGGTACAACCTCATCCTCTCCTACTATTGGTTAATAAGGGAATACTCTGTTTCTGGTGAATGATGCTAACACTACAGCAAATGTACAGGTGTTGATTTATGTGTAACTTCCCACGAGATAGGCATAATTCTATATCTAGGTTGTGGAGCGTAAGGAATAAAGAGATATTTGCTACCCCAAAATTTGCTCATGTGCTTTAAGTATCTCTCCCTCTTTGAGAACAGAGAGGGAGTATAGAAGCAAATGGGCGTGGTGAGAAAGCAACTATCCAAATCCTCTTTTTCTACCCTTTCCCACTGAAAATAAGCCCTAACCTGAAAATTAAGCCCTAGTCTGATTTTTCAGGATGCTCGTCATATCAGCCCTAACCCAAAAATAAGCCCAAGTGAAGTGAAACCCCGCCTTCCACCCATGTGCACCCACAAGAAGATGCGATGACTCTATTTGCATAAATGTAGATGGTTGTACATGAAAATAAAATAAAACCTCCCCTGAAAATAAGCCCTAATGTGTTTTTTTGAGCAAAATTAATATAAGACCCTGTCTGATTTTCGGGGAAATACTTTATTCCAAATGCCCAGTTTTTCTCACAAACGAAATTATCTGCTCCCAAAGCACCTGGGTACCTTATAGGTAAAGGTAAAGGTTCCCCTTGACATTTATAGTCCAGTCGTGTCCGACTGCAGGGTGCGGTGCTCATCCCCGTCTCCAAGCCGTAGAGTCAGTGTTTGTCCGAAAACAGTTTCCGTGGTCACGTGGCCAGCGCGACTAAGACACAGAACGTCGTGACCTTTCCACTGTGGTGGTACCTATTTATCTACTTGCATTTTTAAATCCTTTCGAACGGCTAGGTTGGCAGGACGTGGGACAAGCTACGGGAGCTCACTCTGTTGTGTGGATTCCATCTTACGGCGGCTGGTCTTCTAACCTTGCAGCCCAGAGGCTTCTGTGGTTTAACCCGCAGCGCCACCACATCCCTTTTGGGTACCTTATAGCTAGGTCAAAACTTCCTCTCTTCTCCCCAGGGCCTCTTTTTTCACTGAGAATTCACATGATCTACTCCACAGAGAGAAAGCATGTGCATCTCTGAAATCAGAGGCAAGAGGAACAGATGAAGAGAGCCCCAACGGTGTGGGTCACCTATCACCAATCCAACCCCATTCTGACAATTCAACAAGGCCACCTAGCAATTTTAGTGATGGCAATATGGTAAGAAATAATTTTCTGCAGATATGAGGGCATAGTCTGTCAGCTTACTGGAATAACTCAAGAGTATAAGAGGTCACGCTATCAGAAGAAAATTACTCACAGCCTCCAATTATAAATGTGAACAATGCTCATTAACTCCTTTAAAAAAAAATTCTCGGTTTCTTGGGGTGGGGGACTTAACACTAACCATATGATTTTAATTTCAAATATTCCTTTCAAGGGCTAGAAGCCTTTTTTAAAAATTTCCTATTAAAGCCTCGTGATGCAGTGGTTACACTCCAGTATTGAAGCAAAAACTCATGACCCGGGTTCAGTCCCAAGAAAATGGCTCGAGATTCACTCAACCTTCTATCCTTCTGAGGACAGTAAATTGAGCACCCAGCTTGCTTGGGGGGGCCACAATGTGCAGCCTGCATAATTAAATTGTAAACCATTGAGAGAGAGCTTTAAGTGCTACGGGGAGGTATATAAACAGCACACTTTGATGGGGTTTTTTTGCATTATTATTTCATTCTCATACCTCACTATAATTTTGGCACAATGAAATTAATTTCTGAACAATACGTTATTAATGGGTGGGGGAAAATTGTGGCTTGCCATCTGTTGCTGGACTATAGGTCTCAAGGTCCCTGAACCAAGGGACGTGATGCCTCAGGCGCCACAGAGCTATGGGTGTTGCAGAAAAAAAAATGTAGACGCTCCACAATTCATGGCCGGATGTCTCTCCCATTAAAAGTAACTTGCACAACGGGAGCTGCAGACTCAGGGCAAAGGTGTAGGTTTCAGAATCCACCTCTGCGTCCACCAATCTTGTTAGGCAAAGGATTACCAGTGAATCAGGAACAGAGGGGCCTGGCACATATATCTAGCCATGATTTTTGGAACCCTTATTCTCCATGCCCACTCTGCAACTTCCATCACTCTGTGCTGCCCAGCCTAATGAAGACGTCTGTGAAGTTGTAAGCTATCATATGCTGGTCATTTTTAAAGTGATGTAGCAAACATATCATCCACCCTTGCCTTCAGAATGTATACAATGACCCATAGATTATTTTCTTCTTTTTTGTTGTCTATGGAAAGTATAGGTCTAATTAATGGAGCCTCTTTATTTACAAAAAGGAGTAGCAGTACAACAATGGAAAAGCTCCTTTCAGTGGTTCCTTGAGATATGGTGCTAGGCCAGTGAAAAAATGATAATTTCTTATCTTTGTTCCCCCAGTAAAATAGTGGAACACACAGATAATGGTTGAAATCCTGTTACGTTCTTATGCATGTGGAAGGCAACTGGCATAGTATTCAGTCACTTCTGGTGGGCAATTGACAAGACCCCTCTGGGATTCCTGGGGGTGCACCAAGCCAGTAGGTGTGACTGTGGACACCCACTAAGAATTCCAGCAGCTACTTGTGAATTGCTAGCTAGCAGTTACTGAATGTTAATGCTTTTTCACCTTCGGCAGGTGCAACAAAGCAACAGGGTTTCAGGCAATATTGTAAACTGCACTCAGACTCGAAAAGCAGTCTTGAAATGGGTGAAGTGGAGACAATAACTGGAAATGTAGACATTGTGTAAATGTAAGGATAAAACCAAATGTTATTCCAAACTGGAATACATTAATTGAATCAATGGAATTTCAAGTGTCGGCACAGGTAGTTCCATTAATTCAATTCAATGAGACTATTCCAACTGGATCTGAAACCTAAATGAGAGATTTGCTGATGTTTAAAGCACTTATAACTTATATTCTTGTTTTGTGTTTGTGAGATTCTTTGAAGATACTCTCTTTTTTATTATTGTCTTAGAATACTAAACAAGCTGGAAGAAAACCAACATTGTTTCATTAGGTCTTTCTCCCTCCCCTGCAGCCCCTTCCCAAAGCTAATGAGAAGGGTTCTTCAAGTCTGAAATGCAGATTCTGAGCTCACATAAGGGGAAGCAGGATTCATTTTGTCTCTTTCTCTCTTTTGGACAGGTGCAGCTCCCCATCAGAAAAAAAAAATAGATTTTGCCTTAAATTTTAAACCAGTTAAAGATTCCCCTTGACATTTTGTCCAGTTGTGTCTGACTCTAGGGTGCAGTGCTCATCCCCATCTCCAAGCCATAGACAGTTTCCGTGGTCACGTGGCCAGTGCGACTAGACACGGAATGTCATGACCTTCCCACCGAGGTGGTACCTATTTATCTACTCACATTTTACATGCTTTCAAAGTGCTAGGTTGGCAGGAGCTGGGACAAGCGACGGGAGTTTGCTCTGTCTCGTGGATTGGATCTTATGACTGCTGGTCTTCTGACCTTGCAGCCCAGAGGCTTCTGCGGTTTAACCCACAGCACCACCACGTCCCAGACATTTAAAGCATTAATCCAGTGTAATTCTATTGTAGAGAAGAAAGCTGAGCAATATCCCTCCCTTACCAATGGGCTTACTTTTTCGTGTTTGTGTTTCTCTTTCTCCTTCTCTTTCTTCTCCTTTTCCTTCTTTTCTTTTTCCTTTTCCTTCTTCTCTTTCTCTTTCTCCTTCTCCCTCTCTTTCTTCTTCTTCTTCTCCTTTTTGTCTTTCTTCTTCTCTTTGGGCTTCTCTTTCTCTTCAAAGAGTTTATCCGGGAGCACCGAGGAGAGAGGCGTCAGCAGGGATGGTAATTTCATGGCAGCCGGGGTACTGAACAAAGGCAAAGGCAGGTCTTTGGGAGGCAGGAGAAGAGAAGCAGCCTTCATCTTTTCTTTCTTCTCCTTAACCTTCTCTTTGTCTTTCTTCTCTTTATCTTTCTTCCCTTTCTCTTTATCCTTCTTCTTATCTTTATGCTTCTCGCGGTCTTTTTTGGTACTGCCGTCTTTTACCTTCACTTTGGGATCCTCGTCGAAGTCTTTCATTTTGAACCTGTAGGGATCCAAGTCATCGTCTCGGATCAGGTCCTTCCACGGAAATTTCATGTCTTTACCTCCTTCCCTGTCTTTGCTTTTCTCTTTGTTCTTCTCTCTGTTCTTTTCCTTGTCCTTTTGTTTCTCTTTCTTTTTCATTTTTGTCTTCAGTTCTTTTTTCAGCTTCTTTTTCACTTCAACGGAGGAGGCCAGCTTAGTTTTCTCCTCGTAAACTTTGAGCAAAGGCTCCGGAGTTGGTGGAGAAGCAGAAGGAGAAGAGAAATAAGGGTAGCTTGCAGGTAAGTTGGCAGGAGTACCCATGTTTGCTTTTCGAATGACCTCATCTATTGAGTCATCCATTGTCCATGAAATGTCAGAACTTGACGTTCCACCAGAAGGAGGAAGTGGGGTGTTTCCCATTTTATTTGTGCTACCGGTGGCCGACACAGACGTTTTCAGTACTGGAGTCTCTGAAACCGAAAGTCTTTTAGGACTGGTAAAAATATCCCCCTCTGATTCTGTCCCTGAAGAAAACTCAAATGGATCAGGGTCCCTCTCAGCACATGCACGGGCAATTACAGCGTCAATGGAATCATCGATTGTCTTATCAGCCACTGCTACTTTCTTTGCTGGATTCTCGTTGGGTTTCCCGGGGTCAACAGGGGGTGGCCCTTGTTTTACTTGGATATTCTCTTTGCCCATCTTTTCACTTAATGCTGCTAAGGGGGTTCTACTGGGTGCCTCCTGCTTAATTGGTACTTGAGGAACATGAGCTGGAACTTTTGGACTTTTAGGGCTTCTGGGGCTCTTGGCCCGGCCTGGTGATTTTTTCTCTTTGGTTCCAGTTTTTGGTGAGTGAATGGGACTTCCAATAACTGCCGGAGAAAGGGAGACTTTGGGTGTTTTTGGTGTTTTAGATTTCTGCCCTGGAGAGCTTGTTTTCACTTTTGTTTTAGGGGTAAATGGTCTTGGTTCCAATGGTTTAGAAACTGGCAACTGTGATTTTGCAATGGGAGCCAGTATGGGTGGTTCAGGAGAGGGGGGAACCAGTTCAGCACTGTCCTGAACACACACGGGAGAAAGCATTGGTGGCACTTTCTGGGCATTTATTGAACTAAGAGGCTCACGTAGCTCTGCCATCCCCTCTATTGCCTCTCCTTTAATACTAGCAATTTTCGGCCGCTTCACAGCAGGCATTTCCTCCAGTTCTGGGCTTGCCAGTGGTCTCTTGCTTAAGTAATTTTCATCATTAACAGCCTCATCCTCTTCCATCTCTCCTTCCTCCTCCAAAGGAACCTGCATGGCTTCTGCTGAGGTTCCTCCTTCAGTAGGTACCTGTTCTTCCTCTTCCTCTGTTTTAGAAACAAACAAGAAAAGGCAAAATTATTGGCATATCCAAAAAAGCAAAACATTCTGCATGGAAGTCACCAGAAACAAATTGAAATAGGCTAGATGAGTTATTTTAATAAATGAATAAAAATTAAAAAGGCATTTCACTCATTAAAGGTAATAGATACATACAACAGATATGGATAATAGATGAATTACATTGAATGTTCTGGCTTAACACTCATTTCTTTCTTTCTCTCTCTCTTTCTTTCTTTTATGAATAATTATTAGTCTCAGGTCCATAAACAACGTGCCCACTGCCAACCTTTCACTCAGCAGGCTAGGCTGTTCCCTTTGACAACAGTGCCATGATGACATTGGCATTCATCTACGGTGCCAACTGGAGCCAAAGAGAATGCTCCCCCCTTCCATGGCTCTGTACCTGTTCCATTGGAGCAAACAACACAAACAGAGGATGGATAAAAGATAACATGTGATAGATTTGTACAAAAAGACCAAGGAAATGTTCTCCAACAAATCTGTTTAAAGACAATATAGTTTGCCATGTGCTGCTGGTTATTTGGCATCAAATGCCTCCTGAGAAGAGCTACCTTTTGCTCACTTCCAGGTTAGTAGGGGATTTTTTTGTTTTTAAATCAACACAGCTACATGTTTCAACCAGAGAAATATTTTCCAATTCCTCTACTGTTGCATAATGTCTGCACTTCCATTTACCCTAGCTTTATAACAAACATCCTTTCTTAGGAATACAGGAGCTGTGAGTACACGATTCTCTTCCCCTTGCTTATATAGGGGCCCTCATTTATCCTCTTTTACCTGGCTGCTTTTGAAGCTCCCTAATAGAAATAAGTTTAAAAACCAAATAAAAGCGACCTGGAGATGCTGTGGGTAGAGAAAACAGAGACAATCCAGAATTACTTAGCTGGAGGGCAGGATGGACTGTTGTTTTCTTACCAAATATTTTTTAAAGCAAAATATAATTTTGAAACTGTTCAAAGTCTGTCTTTAGTCTGAATCCAACTTAAAGAATCTCATTTGGAAGAGTTGGCTTTCAGGCTTTGGGAGGGGACATTTCTTTCCCCTAAAATGTGTCAATGCCCCAATTTAGGAGAGTTCAGCCGAGAGCCCTAGGCTGAAGCATGAATCTGTGCCAGCATCACAAATTAAGTAAAAATGAGCGAACAAGTCAAGCTTTCGCCAAGGCCCAGAGGATTTACAGCAGCCTGTCCAGAGTGGAGACTTTGCCCGAGGATAAAACCTTAGCCTTCTGTGAAAAAACAGAAAAGTGTTAGGCAGTTCAGTTTTGCTTGGATGGACATGCACATTTCTGTCTCTTAAAAAAAGTATATGGAGGGAGTGTAAATCATTCTTGACTGAATCGGCACCTGTTAGAAATAGACTGGACCACAGGTCTTAATGCTCTAGGCTTTACAAATTTGGTTTAATCACTAGCTGATCTGGCATGGGAATTGAACATGTTCTCCTTCCCTATAATGGCATGAATTAAATCAGGAATGCATAGAATTGGCAAATATTCCAAATTCAGAAGCTTTATCACTATGTTAGGGACATTGGCCAAAGGTAGAGCTGGAAAAAATATATGGATATTCTTTCCCTTCCCGCATCAAATTCCAAGAGCTGACACAACTGTGACATCTCCAGTCCAAGATATCATCCCTGAGCAACTCCAAATACAAAACAAAGCACTGTGTATAGCATAACATAGTGATGCCTTCCTATCAGTCATATAAGAAGAATATTATGAATATCTCATTATTAAACATTCTCCAAGGCATATATCAAACCTGGAAGGGACTGCAGACAACTCTGGTGGGCTCAGAAGCCTCTTGGAGCTACATAGACTGGAAAAAAGCAAACACACGCCAGCTAAAAAAGACAAGGCCAGCATGAAAAAACATAACTGAGTGTAGGGAGGTTCCCCTCCAACGAAAAAAATAAAATAATTTCTTTTAAAAAAAAGCTGAGGAGAGGGAATGTGCCCTCCTGGGACAAGATTCCACCCACTTCTTCACCTTTCATTCCTCATTGGTAATACGGGAATAACTCTATGACCCACATTGCAGGGCTGTTAAAAGAAGGGGAGAAAGAATAACAATCTCTGACGTACTTTGAGCACTCCCATGGCAACACATGAAAGCTTTGGTTTACTGTTCTTATGGAGGCAGTGGGGAAGTCTGTAGAGTTGGTCATTTTTTGAGAGCAAAATATCTACCTCTAATTGTTAAGCACTGTGTCATATTGATGGTGAGAAACGGATAAGCTGCACTGTTCTGTGACAGATGGGACCGCAGGATAGAGATGAGCACCACGCTACAGAGACTACTGGGTGAGTGAGACCTGTGAGAAAGACAGACTGAACTCGACCCTAAATATAAATCTGCTACAGATCATCATTAAAATAAAATAAATCCAACTGGTATGAGGATTTAGACTGGGAACTGGAAATGTGCAGTTCCCACCTACAGCCTCCTATCTCCCCTAAACTATTTTTCAAAACTCTAAATTTGAGAGTGTTGAAAATGTTTCCCATATTCCTTGATAGCAACCTTTACAATAACCACCTAAGGCAGAGCTAGCATTATCACCACAATATCTGGTAGGAAGCAAGGGGTGGGAGGGGCGCTAAGGTTGAGAGTTTGCCTAAAATTCCTTATGACATTAGATGTATGGTTTTTTTAAGGGATCACGGAGTGATGCATGAGTTTAAAAATTATATTTTATTAACATGAAACTTTTAAAAAACAAAATACTTTTTTAAAGACCGAAAGAGCCACCAGCCTCGGCACACTTCTCAAACATACCAGCAGCTTCCCAGTTCCCTCTACAAAATTCCATTTTTTTCTTGCAATCTACCAGGAAAGTTTTTTCTTGCAATCTACCAGGAAACAAAAACACATCAGCAAGAAACTGCAAACCTGAGTAGGCTTTCTAAGATCTTTGGAACAGCCCGTCTCCCTCCACCCACCTGTACCTCAGCAATAATAAATCAGGCTTCTTGGACCAAATAACTCAGAAAAGTATATGCACTAGTTTCCTTGTTTAAACATATTTCATTTTTTCCCTGTTAAAAATGAAATTATTAGCAAAGACAAGGTAATTAGGCAGTGACAACTTGCACACTGCAGCCGATCAATAACAGGGGTATATTAACTAGGCTGACAGTTGTGTGGTGCTGATGGGTTGTAAATGGTTTTGAGACTGACCTGCTAAAAAAACACAGCGTTTCCCTAACATTCTGCACAATAAAGAGAGAGCCCTAAAATGCTATATAAGCAAGCTAACCTGAAATGACACCTAGTATTATAAATAGCCTAATCTATATGTTAATATGGTTGTATCACATAACTGCAGCAAGACTAAGATAACAATGTGACTTTGGGGTTTCTATGGCTACCACCCTGAGCGAATGGGCTGGAAAGTGCCTCGCTGCTGACACCACACAAGCTTCGGCGAGGGCTTCTCTTTGGTTATTTATGATATGATTTATGATAACGACAACATCTCCCATTTTCTCTCCTTGTCAGATACAATAAATTGCCATCGTTAATCACTGCTCTTGGTTCAGGCCCGATTACAATAGTATAATAGGGGCACGGCTATGGTAATAGTGTGCATTAAGGTGAGATTTCTCACACCCGCTCGTTCCTGATAAAAGAAATATGAATTCGGAGATCACCCAAGACAATGTCACTATCTGGAGTATTTCAATAATCTTTCTTCTGAGTGCTTCTGGGTTAGACATTTCTGGGCCATCTAAGATTCTCTCCCGATCCTCAGAGTATGTTTGAGATTATGCTTTGTGCATAGAACACTGGAAATCCATGCAGCATTTACACTTCTTGTGCAATACCCCTGGAGTGTGGGAGTGCATTTGTGGGAGTATATGGGGGGGGGGCTGGTAAATAGCTTTTTCATTCTTTTTTTTAACCTATTTAATATTGTGGGTAATCTCAGACTATTCTCAAGAATGACAATATCTTTGTTAGAAACAACCCACGTCTCGTTTTAAGACATATTGTAAATCCACTTTACTAAACACAAGGAAGCAATAAATCAATCTGTCTTGTCCTGTCCCTTTCTCCACTATAATCTGGCCACCAGAGAAGAGCACAGGGAATGCTATAAGAACCTTCTGAATGAAGGAGACCAAGGAAAGGTTAGGACACACCACTCACTCAGAAAACAGTGAAGCCCCATTCACAGGTAGAAAACACAAACAAGGGATGCAGTGAATGACCATGCAGTATTAGCCAACGTTTCACCTTTACAAGCACCTTGCATTAGGTTTATATTGGGCCTAGTTCTTAACAGAGAGGGCAAAGGTACTTCTGGGCTGTACCACTTCAGGACACAAGGCCTCACCTGAATGAGGGGAGGATTCCCAGCAGAGGAAACCAGCTCATCAGTGAGAAGGTTAGTCTAAAAACTTCTCCTGTTGACAATTTAATCTGAGATGGATTACTGAGCTAGTGCTAATACAATGGAACTTTCCTCCTTTCTCCCCTCTATTTATCTAAAGTACCTGAAAACTAGCAACTAAACCGATATTCATATTGAAATGGGTGTCTTCAAGGGCATAACAGGGTTTCTCAGACCTCTGGAGTCGGTTTTAAGGAGCACAGAAGGGGAGGATCACCCTTCCAGCTCTGTTAACACAAGTAACTCCATCAATCGAAGTCCTCTTCTTATTCTAGTTTCAGCAGGGCATTTTCTTTGTAGAGTGGAGCATCCTAGTATGTGACACACATCCCCAACCTGGTCTGAAGTGGCTGAGATAAAACACAGACTTACCATCTCAAAGATAATGAGATCCTTAAGTTATATTCTTCTGTTCCAGTATTTTATACACAACACGTCCCAACCTGTTGTGTATAAAACAAACTGAACTAAATAGGATAAATATGCCACATCACTGATCGCTCTTTTGAGAACTATTAATTGACAGTCCAAAAAACAGTGAGAGGTAAACTCATTATTGTTC